CTTCCCCGTTTGAGACAGGCATACCCTGCCTGTTGCAAGCAGGCCTGGAGTCATGGAGGACAACCCATTATCAAAAAAACCCAAATTCTGCTGTGATACTACTCTTGGAGCCAGTTACCCATCTGCTGTGTCTTCCTGTTTCTTCCCTGATCAATGCCTGTAACTGGAAGGATAGAGGCTACATGTGCTCCTGACCCCTTAACCAGTTGTCCCAAGGTCCTGATGTCTCTTTTTATTGCCTTTGGGCTTCTTATTGCAAATTCATTGTTGCCTACATGAAAACCCTTACTTAGTAAGGTTCTGGTTCATGTGGCTCACATTTGGAAATGGTATGTAATATGCTTGTTTCTTGATAAATATGATTTCCAAACATTAAAATTGTGTAGCTGGTAAGTCTGGTAAGTAGCACTCCAGATGTCAGATTCTTCTGATAGTGCAGTCATTATACCAGTGGTTTAGAGAGTGACACTACTGAGCTGGAGCCCTTCTCAAGGACTAATGCATTTGGACATAAAATCTGACTCAAAGGGATTCCCTAGGTGGTGTAGAGCTGCAGAAATAGCTCTGTGTCATGGCTTGGCAATGAAGCGATGGTCCTGCTGAGAAGAGTGGATGGCCAAAGGACATGGGGTCGAGGGTATTCCTGGTGAGGAAACACTGCCTCAAGCCAACACAGACGTGGGAGAGCAAGAGAAACAAGTCACATGTGAGACAGCTTGCATTTGCTCATGTTTGTCAACAAGCTGAAAAAGAAACAAGCATTCTAAAATGTCTACCTAAAAATACCAGCTCCATCTTTCAAGCAAAAAACCAAAAATAATTAGTCTAGCTTGCATAGGATATGGTCTTCCCCACTCCTACATAAACAATGCAAATTCATGTCTTTGGTGTCAGACTGCCAGCTACCCAAACCTGGGATATTATAACAGTCAAATTCAAAGCTTGTGTTTCATCTGGTCCAGGCACCATGTGAATGGGCATTAGGGGTGGGCAGGAGTTGATACTATCTGCCAACAGTGTGTGAAAATACCAGCTAGCATCTGTAAGACTGGGAAGGTCTTTTTATAGATTAACAGCTTTGACTGGCTGACATAACCATTCACAACTGCTTGCTATTTTTCAGAAGTCTTCTAAAAGCTTCTAACAGTGATTTAAAAATACAATTTTACATTAATCTGAATTTTAAAGGTATTGAAAATATGCAGTAAGGTGCTCATGAACAGTTTATTTGTCTTCTCTGAAATGTAAACATTGTGAAGACATTCTTGCTGGTCTCTAAATCTGTGCATGGTTACTGGTTATCCTACAGCAATTAAAATTTGGCCCATCTAGGTCTCCTACCTGGAAGCATAGATAGACTCATCTCTTTCTCACTCCCAGACTGGTAATGCTCTTCTCACAACAAGGATAACCAGCAGTTTTATTAAATACTGTAATTAAGCAACAATATTAAAAGGTAGTCAAATAAAACAACCAAGTGTTCACTCTCCAGTACAAGCAGCAGATACTTTGGCTAACCCTAAAGGTATACAGCATAAATCTGGTAGTCTTACTTCTTTGCAAGTAAGACAACTCATGATTTCTGTAGAAAGAATACTTCCATTGGGCCTAGGAAAGGTCTGAAAATGAAAAAAGTGGCTAGAAGTTTTATTTTGTTTTATCTTTATCATTTTATTTCACTGTACTGACATAGTATCGTGTACACTTTAGAATCAGAAAGAGTGAAGGATGTTCTCTAAAAGTCTCCCTGCAAATTAAGAGTATTCCTTTCCTGTGAATGGTCTGTTTCCCCAGAGACAGTATTTGATAGTATTTGATACTTCACTTACAGAAAAATAATTCTTCATATGATTCATATTATTGTTCTTAAAACTGCAGTGTTTCATTCTGTATCTTTCAATTTAAAGACAAGTCAGCATTTACACAGCATTTCCTTTTTATGAATGCAGTTGAATGCTCTGTTCCTAACCAAACAACTGACAGAACAAAGACCTTTGCATACCAATCTGCCATAGCAAAAACAGACCGGCAGATTTTGTGATATCTTCACAAAAGCAGGTGTTCTCTAGTATTTTTCCATATAATCAGCTAAATAACTGCTTTAATTATAAAAACCCCTCTGATTTTGAAGCAAAATTGAGAATCTCTTTATCTACTGACAAATTATACATACAACTGACTAACCAAAGAATATCCCAAAATCAGTATTCAAGTCTTTCTTTTTGAGATAACCATGCAATAAGTTCCTGAGGAAAGATATAGGCTGTGTGACAACAAAATAATTTTAAAATAAGCAAGAAAAAATTCTTGCCCATTCCTGAGTTAATTCTGTTGACATGCATTTAATGAATGCTGTTTACTTGCCAGAAAATTAAACAAATAATGGGCACTGTTTTAGCAAATCACTAGCTGGCTCAAGGGTTTTTCATGAATTAATCTTTCTTTTTATGAATGTAAGGCAGAAAAAAGGGGAGATCTTGCAACCAGTAATGACATTTGTGAGCTTCTTCTGTGTGTTCTGCAATGGCAAAATGCTGCCAGGAAGGATAGTGAGGAATAGGGTTGCCATGCAGCCCAGCAAAACAGCCCTCTGAAAAGCCATGCTGACCCACTTTCAACTACCAGTTCTTGCTGACCCTTTGTTGAGTGAGAGGTTCATGCAAGCTTTTGTTGTTTTCACCCTTTCAAGTTCTCATTTCTAAAGCAGCAAGCCTGTCTCTTTCTCATTCTCCTTCTTCCCCAGTATGCATGAAAGAAAGCCAGATTGTTTCTTGTGACTGTCTTTGCTTTATGTAATTAAAAAAAAACCTTCCACCCTTTTCCTTGTTACGAGCACGCTGTGGAAGAAATACGGATCTTGTCATCAACAAAATTATGATACAATTCCTTAAGGAACTCAGTCTGATTAGAGTAAATTCATGTATGAAAAACCATACTTTAATTGTTACTCTTGGCAACAGTGAAGGATAATAGTGTAATATTATACTAAATATTGCCATGTGCAATAGTAAAAAAAACCCTGGTTTAGTCTTGCCAGCAGCAGTGTGCAAGCCCCCTTTTGAATTCAGGTTTGGATGTTGTCATTTAATCTAAATCTTTTGCTTCTCCTCCTTCCAAAACCAACAGAGGTTTAAAGAGACCTGGAGTTTTATTGGAACCATTTGCTCAGCCTAAGTTGCCAAAATAATTTCGTTAAAACTAGTGCTTTTATTTGGGTTAAGGTTGATTCCTGAGCTTCACAGAGGTCGAGGCACTTAGTTTGTCTTCCTCTTTCTCAGTTCCACCATGGAGCCTACAGCAGTGCTCTGCCAGTTCAAGCTGTATTTCCTGAATCCCAGTCCCCCATTTAAGCTTAACTGTGTTCGTGAGTTCGCACAAGTGGAGAAGAAACCTTTTTTTCAGACTTCTTCCTCACTGTTTATCTGGTACAATGCACAGATAAATATGCAGCTCCAAGGATTCAGAATAAGCAGACTCCAGTGGTGCAAAACTGCAAGTCCTGCTGGTAATGCTGCTACTGCTAGTGTGTTAGTGTGACCTCTCTTTGATAATGATCAACAGCTGCTTTGAAATGCCTCACAGACTGTTTATTTGCCTCTCTTGGGCAACAAGTAGAAAAAAAAAAAATCTCTGCTTTATGCTACTTGAAAAGCATTGTTTGAACTTCTGATAGCTCCAACAAGAATGGTAATTCAGCTACAATCTCCTACCAAAACTTTGTAAATCCTGGGAAATATCTGAAAATAACAAATACTATAATGTTATTGTAATTAAGGAAGTATCTATTTCTCACTATGTATGTGTTTTGTATGTGGGCATACACTGGTAAATGGGACAAAACAGGCTCTTGAATGTCAGAACCTTCACATGATGAGAGGGTTTGAGTCAAATACCCATTTCTAAATCTACCCTCTGTAGTTAGAGCCTTGTTTGGATCCATAAATGAGGTTTTTTTGGTTTGGTTTCTATTCTATTGCAAAAGAAATGTCACAGGTCAGAACGATACATCAAAGATGTTCTATGGTAGTACTGCCTTGATCTGAAATAGATTAAAACTAGGCTTCAGTTTTAAAGTGAAACCAGGGTAAAAATTTGATGGCCCTTGTATATAACATTCTTCTCTCAGAAGGCCCTAGCACAAAACAGTTCAAATCTCCTCTTAAAAGAGGTATTGTAGTCTTGAATGGAATTCTCATGAAAAGTGAACCAAAAATGAGCCATTCTGGTTTTTGGCTTTTTTTTTTTTAGATACAATCCAAAGTGAAAGCAGTAAGAATCTAGTGAATGGAAATGAGAAGCCAATCTGAGTTGAATACACATTGTATGAATTCGAAGTCCAGCTTTAACCCATCCTGAAAATATATATCTTATATATCTTATTTAATGGCATAAATGTTTACATCTGCTTGCATTTCAAAAGAGAAAGTTTTAAATATGTACCTTTAATACAAAATCACAAGACTGTACAAAATTTTAGAAGCCTAAGTGACAGTTGATTGAATAGTATGATTTCTGTCCCATTAAAAGTCTTGCTGCTTAAGATTTGCTTTTATCCTAAATTTGACAGAAATGTTAAATATAAGTAATGTGGAGCAAATCATATAAACCAGAAATCTGAAATGTGATTTTTCATCAAAATTGTCAACAATTATGAAGGAGAGCATGGTCTGAATCCATAAACTGCTGTGTCTGCTAACTCTATTTTATCAGAGTACTAGCTATAAAAGGAAAAATTAAAACCAATTTACTCAGATTTCTGCCAGCAGTGTATAAAACAGGCCTGAAAGGGACTAAGAATACCTGGCCAATGTAGCTGCCATTTTTGGGTTTAGTGATTCTAAGATGTTTTTTGTTATAAAAGAGAAGATAGGTCCTTTCAGTTTCAGCCTGAAAGGTCTCAAAACTATGCACAACACAGGGAACAACAAACTAATTCAGATTACTTCATAATACCAAAAAATATGCTACTCCTGATGGCAAAGAAGAAAGGAAGCTCTCACCCTTATAACCAGCCGCATTCGTTTTCCAGTCGTTAGCATTCAGATGTCCTGCACGTGAAGTTCTGACAATAATATGCTGTATGTCTCTCCAGGTCAGAAATGGACTATGAAAAAAGGGAAAGACAAATTCACAGATCAGACACGTTTTACCAGAATGTAGGGATACAAGATCATGTGAGCTAAAATGTATCCAAACCAAAACAACCCTCATTTCAATTCTCAGCTTTCCCTTGCTCCATTCAAATGAACGTGTCCTAATTTCACAGAATTATTACACAAAATTACTTAGACAGCTCTGTGTGTGTGTGTGTTAAACTAAACTACAGACTATAGAATATAATGATATATAGTAATATTCTATTATATAAAACGTAAGGGAAGACGAAAGAGTACATTTCAATCTGTATGACCATCAACTACTGTATGTTATCTACCGTGACTGTATTTTATCTACCTTGAACAGTGCAAAGCAAAAAATCCCAAAATGTTGGCTTCCTGAAAAGCTCTACTAAAACTCACTAACTGTATGCTCAAGCTGGCAATTCCTTCACACTTTCAGCTCCTATTGAAACTATTTCAGGTGCTTCTGTAGTTATTCATTTGTCTACTACCCTGTCTTGGAACTCACTGGGGGTCTATGTGAATTTTTCAAGACCAGCCAGCCACCACTGAATCTGAGTAGTTACAGAGCAATCGCTTCCTTGTACAAATGTGTATTCCTTTAAGGGCTTCCTAATAATGTGGCCACTTAGGAAGGTGAAAATAAAAACAATTTGTATCCTCACTATGACATTAGTACCCATTTATCTTGTGGGACCAGAGCACATCTATAGAGATTATAGTTTTCTCGTTTCACTTAGATCCACCCCAAGAAGAGTTTCTTTTCTTAGAAGATGATCTAAAGGTACGTGGGGTGTTTTTAAGTTCTCCTTCAATTTTCTCAGTTTCTCTATCATCTGTAAGGAAACAAAGAGTATTCTATTTAAAAATGCAGATTAGTAAAGGGAAATGAGCCACTAAATAAGGAAGATGAAAGAAGTATTGCAGCGCATGAGCTCCTCAGTATCACTACCTACCCATATTACACATATTGGCAGAACTCCACTCACTTGTAATGATGAAGATACACTAGAATGAACTTTAGCAGTCCCAGCACACGCTGTCTACACTCTTCAGAACTAGACAGTCATTGAAAACCTGGGAAACCTTGGTTCAGTTCCTCAACACATGCTCTTGTGTCTCAGACCAAAAAGTCACTTCAGCCAGCAGACAAGTAACTTAGCAACTATCTCTAAGGCATAATACTAGGGCTCTGTTTTCAATTCCAGGTAGAAACCACACCAAGGAAACAGATAGAAGAGTGTGGGAAATGTCAACCATGGGTGATTTTGAGTGGGTCGCTTTCTGGGGTGAGGGGGAGTGCCATCGCATGGAGTGGCTCTACACTCTTAAGCCAACATGTTGTTGAGTTGTTAGAAATTTCAATGAGAAATTTCCTTGGAAAGCAGACACAGGGTAACACAAACGTGCAGCAGTACTTTGTTCTTCTCTAAGTTGCCCTGTCAGTGGAAGATAGAAAAATCTCACTCATTTCTGATGTACACAAATGAATGTTGTGTGGGTTGGCATTCCACACACACTGTTTCACATCTTACAGAACTTGGTTTTCTCAAAAGAATGTATTTTTGAAATACTTGAGTAATCACTGCTTTATAGGACTTAAATATGGAATTAGAATCCTGCTTATCCTGTGAGCTGAAATCAGGCAATTAGGAAGCAATCAGTGAATACGTGTGATAATCTATTGTAAAATGAGTGTTTTCCTTTTCATTCAAGATTTGTCAATTTAGGTTTTCAGTTGACAAATTTCAGCTTCTACAAGCTTCATCCTTAAGAAAAGGTCGTAGGGCTGCAGAAGTTATTACAGTCAACTTGTTTATAGGAAAACTTACTCCTAGCCTATCCTCTGTGTGCATGTAAGCATATATTCATGCACATTAACCAATGGAAGTCCACTTTTGTTGGGGCAATTACTGGTAATGAAAACAAATTTCAGAATCATGGTCTGCAATTCCATACAGGAGAGAAAAACCTGGGACATACAGGATAGTCACACATAAGTGATTTGTACACATTCTACTTTCTAATAGCTTCATCATTCATATACTTGAAAAGAAGAAGGGTTGCCTAAAAATGTCAGACTTCTTTTATGTAACAAGACTTGTAAGGAACAGCGCAAAGACAGTGGCCAAACCATTGAACTAGACATATTTTTCTCATTTCCTTTGCAATAACACAATTTTAGCTGCGAGTGTATCTTTTCCATTGCAGAACATTTCCCAGTGTGTGTGTGTGGACCATAGGTAGGCTGACGTAAACTAGCACCTTTCTACCTACACCTGGGACACCACAGGAAGTGACATGTATTCTTCTAGGGTCAACACAGAAAGTCCTGTCTATAATTCTTGTTGGAACAGGGAGGATATGGAAAATTCTGAAGAAGGAAGATGATTTTTAAGTGAATGTCGTACTAATTGAGACAGATTTTTCTGTAATATCTTCCAAACTCTATCAATTCATAGCAATTTAATTTTTCTGTGTTTTTGGCTAGTAGATATAAGGATATTCTCATATTTAAATTATTCTGTTATTTTTAGGGAGAATTGATGCTTTCTGTCCCTGAGCATTTATTAACACAAGCATAGATACATTTTTTTTCTTTAAGTGGAATTTCTCACACTAGACAGTTGGACTAGAATGACAATAATTGTTTATCCAGCTGAGCTGGTAAAAATGACTGAACAAAAAAAAAAAGAAAATAGAGCCATGGAATGTAAGGAGTATTGAGGGTTTGTAAGATAGCGTATGCTTGGACAGTCACGTAACATGCTTGAGGGAAAAAAAAAAAAATCAGTATGATTTTATACCAACTCAGGAATTTCACTGGGAGTCTGTGGAAAGTCTTGAAAAAACATGCTTCAGGCCTTCAGGAAGACCTCCAGGAATCCCGAGAGCTGCATTCCTTATGAGCTGGAATCTAAACAATCTGTTATTCTATAAAGCAAGCTGTCCATGCTATTGGTGAAAAATAAGGCACTAAAATACTACTTTCAACTCCTAAAGGACACATTCAAGATAACGCATGTTCAACTGATTATTTAAAGAGGAATGATAGATCTAATGGTGGATCTAACTATGCCTAGCTAAAGGAACTAAAGATCCAGTCTTCACTTGATAATACTGATCTCTCATAAATTGAATTTAAGTCACTCAGCAAATGAGATTATGTTTCAGAATCATGGTTAACTTCTAAAAACAAAAACAATGGCAGAACTTGAAATCTGAGCCATTCACTGTTGTAGCTAACTGCCATCCTTATCTAACCATAGAAAATAATGTGAGACCTTCTGGACAGAAAACTTGATCAGAGGCCTGATTTCCAGGACATGACTGAGTATACGGTTAAATCAGTCTGTCTCTCATGCAGCCTTCCAGCCTGCTTGCTTACTGTGTAAGTCATAAGATTTTTAAGTTTTTTTCTCAAGAAATGGCAGTTTGGGAGTATTTATAACTAAGAGATTTATCATTATAAGATATTCAATATTATAAGAATATTCAAACTGATTTTGTAGGACCTTCACTATACTAAAAATTGAGCTATTTGCTGGACTGAAATTCTCTCTCTAGACCTCATTTGAAACAAAACGGACCTGCAATTGCTTAATTGTTTGCCCATACTATTTTTTCAGAAACCTTAAAAAAAAAAAAAATGCAAAAAAACCCAACCCAACAAAAACTCCAAACAAAACCAAATCCCAAAACCAAGCAAGCAACAACAGAAGAGGAAACTGGAATTATGTCAACAGCAGTTCATTTGGAGAAAGAAGAGGGGTTTTCTTTTTAACAAGATAGTCTAGCAGCTAATTTTAAAGCATCTGGAAAAATCACAGAATTGCTGAAATATTTGTAAAACATGTCAAAATTGAATCCTAAGTGAGTAAACAGTTGTTTGCTAGCCATGTGGGCCCCAGATCCAGACAAGATGTCACTGATGTTAATTGATTTACCACTTGATTAATCTCAGAGGAATTAATGGCTAAGCATCTTGAAATGAACAAATGCATTAACAAGAACAGTACTAAGTCTGTTTGATAATGGACTGATTTCAAAAATGGTGATTTCTTTCCAGAAAATTTTTTTTCAATGTCTCATCTGAAGTTGCTTTGGGATTACACATACCAGACAATACTCAAAATCAAACCAGAAAAAGCAGAAGTGAGAACAATTACATATGAAAGTACTTGTACTGAAGCCAAGAAATAACAACTGTTGTGTCGTTAACCAGTAATTTTACTCTGAGGTACAGCCCTCTTCCTTCAGGCTTCTCAACATGTTTATGAAACAAGGTAAATGTGAAAAAAATGAAACAGGACAAATAAATTATATTACAGTAATAGTCATTTTAGATTTAACTGTATCTTTAAGAAGGCTGCTTAGAAGTAGTAGGTCATCATTTTTGGCCAAATATGATTTCTTCATTCCACAAGTAGTCTCCCTAGTGACAACCGGGTTAATCCTGGAAATAGTAAAGAATTCAAGCTCTACCCCTTTGCATAATGATACCATGACAAAAATGGCTGTTCAGAATAAATAATCAGTGCAAGATTGAAAATCAGCAAAAATATCATTCACTGCAATAAACAAATAGGGTGCAACTTTGGTTTGGCCATTTGTTTTTTTATTAGTAAGATGATACAGTTAGCAACACGAATAATAGCTGCTACATGATCTTCATAACCAGCAATTTGAATGTGACAAAAATGGCCTATCCGAAAAAAATATTTCCTGCAAAAATAGCAGATGAGGATTGCCGGAAGAATACAATAAACTTTTCACCAAAGAATCAAGGAAAAACGCAGTATTACATGGTGAACTAAGCGGAAGATCATCAGTCAATTTGGAAGTACCAAATAATCTTAGCTGTGAGAAAACAGACACAGATAATTGTCACTATAAAAAGGAGTCTCTGTGCCTTAGACATCTTGTAGATCAGCAGATCATTTGAATCGCTAATTTCACACCACCCTGAAGGGCTTTATGATAA